TTTATAAAAGTTATATACTCTACAACAAGAATCAATGAAATATGTCCCATGAGCCAAATCCATCCAGACACCTATTTCTGTAAATAAAATTTTATTGGAACATAGCAATTCCCATTTTTAAAATGTATTATCAGTGGCTTCTTTCATGCTGCAAATGGCAGAGTCTAGTAGTCGCAACACAGACTGAATGGCCTGCAAAGCCAAAAGTATTTACTATTCTACACATTATGGTTAAAGTTTGCAAAGCCCTTTTCTACATCATTAGCCATCAGGGAAATTCAAATTACTACCACAATGAGGTCACTATAACCCATTATGTTGGCTAAAAATGAAAAGATAACTATTTCAATTGTTGACAGAAAGGGACAAAAAATGTCTAATTTAAAAACTATTTAGATTCATGTTCTCTTCAGTGTGAAGGGCTCTTTTGAGCTGATGTTGATATTATGGGAAGAAAGATGGCCCTATGCAGTGATTCTGCCTAATGACCAATTTCTCAACAAGGGCTAATCTTCTGTCTAAGGAAATCATTGGTGCAAGAAGACTCAGTCACTTATTCCATTGGTCTGATTCACGCATGGATGATGAACATGAATTTTTAAGAAGCTGTGGATGATGTTTCAACGTGACTTCTCTCTATGGCCACCAAGGGGCAATGCCGCTTTGGAGAACACTGTTTGTCCCACATACAGATGTAGAATATTCTACAAGTAGCCATAAATTATTCTTTGAAAATCTAAAAAGTTACTATCTCCTACATTGCTTCAATTTCCATCTATCAATCATGTAGTCTGAGGAGCGGGCGCGCTGACCAGTGTCTCCTGTTGGACTATGATGATGTTCTACTTTAGTAGGATTTGAGATGACATCAAATGCAGAAACACCACGTTCTCTCTGTGCTTCGAGGAAAAAACGTGCTCCCTATTTCTTTTAACTTCTATTATTTATAATGCAGATCAGCGCTATTTTTATGGCTGCTCTGGAATTATCCTCAATTTATACCTCTATATTCTGTTGTGTTAAATCAAAAGCCAAACTGATTCCTCACAGTTTTGTATCTTGCCTCTGAGGATGAAGTGTGAAGAAAATGTTAAATGTTTCTTCAAATATGGAATAAGAACTACCAAAATGTTTTATCCTGAATGTATTCCTAAGATCTACCAAAAATGTTGTATTCTTGAATTTCTTCATGGCCCCATATCTTCCAAAGTCAGCAGAATTTTTCGATCTTCTATCCATTTGGAAAGGAAAACTTTTTCAGAACAGATAATTCTAGTACTTCTTAATTTCTTTTCTCCATGTATAGTATTAGAAATATTTCTTTTGCTTGGTATATATATTTTAGAAAAAATATCAAGAAATTGAAAGTGATTTAATTATATTTTGTCATTTCTTAGGGTGGAATAAAATCTGGACACATCTGAAAGACTCCAATAAAATTTAAGTTCCCTAAGGGAAAAGAACTGTATATTCTCTCTGTTCTGGTTCATCGCCTTTGCTTATAATGGTATATTGTGCCCCTTGTGTGTCTTCAATGAACTGTAATTAGCATTTATAATAAAAGAGAAATACCCCTCTACATGCTGATCTTGTGACTTTGTGGGATTCTGTTTTTTCCCCGTTGTAAAATAGTGTTACTTCTATTAAGACTACAAGCTGTTCTGGTGCATTATTTTAATATTCTAGATGTGAAGAAACAGAAGTGAGGAATGGAGGAGGGAAATCTGAAACTGATCTTTATCCACGTGTAAGGATGGGATTTCTGATTCCCAATGAATGTAATTTTCACCATTTCTAAGTAAGAGCAAAATAAGGAAATGCTTGCTTTGAGAAAAATAGTTCTAACTGAAAGCACTTGTGAGAGGGTGGAGTCTGATGAAAAAATTGAAACATGAAGTTAAAGTCAGCTTCCTCGCTGGCTGAGAAGACCAGAGGCCCACCTGGGCTGTCACTGAGCTTTGGTGCCAGGAAAAATGGACAAGCTTCTGGGAGCATTATTTTTAATTCTGTGGTTTCAACAAAGCTGTGAGTTATGGAAGAGAAACTAGGCTATGTCATAAATTTGCAGGAATGAGAAAATGGGTGTGTGGACAAATTCATGCAGGTAGAAACTTTAAGAAAGACATATGAATTTGTGGACCTAATGACTTTTCTTTTTATTCAGGGGTGAGTGGACAACAGAATGGAAAAAGTGAGCAACAGCAGGTGAAACAGCCCTCAATCCCTGGTAGTCCATGAAGGAGCAATTTCAGTTCTGAACTGTACTTATGAGAACAGTCTATTTGACTACTTCCCATGGTACCGGCAATACCCTGGTCAAGGCCCTGAATTCTTGATAGCCAAAAGTTCAGGTGGGAATAAAAAGGAAGATGGAAGATTCACAGTTTCCTCCAATGAAAGTGCTAAACACTTCTCATTGCACATCAAGGACTCCCAGCCTGG